ATCAGGCTGAAGCACAGCCTCAGAGGCCGGGACCCCTGCGCCCACGGGTCTCCAGGGGCGGCCAGGAGGTGGGCTCGGCTCCGCTCCGGGATCCACAGTCATTCTGCGATGCTTGGCAGGCGCAGGAGGCGCCTTAGCAGACGGCAGAGCGAGAGCCGGAATGCAGCCGGGATGGGGCCCGGTTCCCCCTGCTCACGTGAGCGTCACATTCCCCGGCGTGACTGCGTTCCCGAGCGGCTTTACCGTCACCGTCAGACACACATCCTGAAAACCCGCTGCCATCAGTGACCAGCTCATCCCGCCGCCCACGCCCACATTCCTGTGGACGGGAGCAGGGTGCCATTCCGAGGCCAGACCTGAGGCAGATCCTGCCGGAGGTCTGAGGGGAATCCTGGAACCATCCTCCCGCGTCCTAGCAGAGAAACCCAGCCCACGCTGAACTCCAGTTGAGAAGTCACACCCACTCTCCCTCCTGACCCGACCCCTTTGCGTGGGAACACGGGTGCCCTGAGGCTGCTGGAAACTCTGGCATCCAGCTGGGGACGGTGTCCTGAGAGGAGAGGACCCCCAGGCCTCGGCCGGATGGACATCCCAGAGCCCAGGAGCCCGGGGCGGGGGGGGGGCATGAGCAGGTGCCAGCTGTCCTGTGGCCCCCGTGGTCTGGCACACCTGCCGCCCCTGGAGCTGACTGCCACCCACCTCTCACCCAGACGCCCTCAGGGATGCTGATGGAAACAGGGCATCGTTCTAAGGCTGGATCGGGAGACCGCGTGGAGGCCTGAGGGGCATTCCGTTGGCGAGCACGCTGACTCACTCTGTCGCTCTGCAGGCTGTCGCTCTGCATGGCATGCTCAGTGGTGGTGCCGCTTTTTGTCGAGGGCAGCTCAGAGGCAGAGCCTGAGACCACACTCGCGGAAGTTCCACCCGCTTTGGGGTCCTGTTGGGACAGAGCCAGTCCAGGGAGTCAGTCCTGTCCCCTCCACCCCACTGCCCTGGGCCTGATTGGGGCGCACTCCCAGCCCCCTCCCCACCTGGAGTCCATGGGGTGGAGCTTGGGCAGAAGAGGAACCAGTCCAACCAGCTTCGCCAGCTCAGAGGAACCCGGGTCACCGACTGCTCACAGTCCTTGGCTGCGGAGAGACCTGCAGAGCCTGTGTGCCCGGTGGCAGCCAAGCCACAGGTCTGCCCAGTCACTGGCCCAGACACTGCTCGCCAAGTGGCCCTTGAGGAAAACTGGTTCCGCCCAGGGACGCAGAGCAGCGTCATCCCCGAGGACATCCCCGGCCACCCAGGGACCTGCCTGCCTGCTCTGGGGCCACCCCCACCGCCAGGGAAGGTATAACCAGGCTGGACACGAGAAGGGCAGTGGTCAGACTCACTGTCTTTTCTCCCAGAAGCTCCTTGGCACCCCCAAGGGAAGGGTGACCAGGCACCGCGATATCCTGTTTGGTCCTGACCTCCGAGAGGCTCCACGTCACACACACACACGCGCGCACACACACACGCACACCCCCCCCCCCCGCCCAGTGGCAGCGCTGCACCAGGGCCCCAGGACAAAGGCTGCGTCTTGGGCTTCCCATCAGGAGCCCCACGTGGAGTAAACGTCCTGCCCAGCGTGGCCCGGACCCGCGGGCCTCATCTGGGCTGCGGAGCCTCGGTTTTTGCAGGTGCCACTCGGAGGCAGTGAGCTGTCACGCGGGCACTCGGCAGCAAAATGGGCTCATCCGCTGCTTCCCCATCCATCAGACAATGGGCTCCGCGCTCGGCCACGTGGCCCTGTGCTCAGCGAGCCACTCCTGCCGCCGCTTTCTCCCGTGGAGCCGAGGGGCGGCCGGCGCCAGCGTCGGGAGCGGTGAAGTCCTCCCCTCTTCCTCCTCCCCCAGGCCCAGCACAGGACCCGGAGGCCAGGACCCCTGCGCCCTAGACTACACTTCCCAGGTCGCTCCGCGCGCGTCTCACAAAGCCTCGCGAGAATCCTGTACCGGAACCCACCTGGTGAGACTGGGCTCTTGCGAAGACCGCCGGGAAGTGTAGTTTGGGATTGGTAGTCTCGCGCCCTGGCACCCGGGCTGTGGTAGCGGAGAGACTACAAGTCCCAGGGTGCGTGGCGCGACCACCTGGAGGGCGGGGGGTACGAAAGAGGAACCCGAGGGGCGCCGGGGTGAGTGCAGGGCTGGGGGTGGGCGGGCGGCGGGGCCGTGGGGCAGGCGGGGGGCGGGGGCCGAGGCGGCCTGGAGGCGCCGCCGCGCGGCCGGGCGGTCTCGGGGCAGGGCGGGGGCCGGGAGCCGGACAAAGGACCCGAGGGAGCCTCCGTAGCCAGACTTGGGACCCCGTCCCGAGCCCCCCGGCCCCCCACGGCGCCGCTGCGCCGGACCGTCCGGGATCCGCGGCCTCTTCCCCGGGGTTTCCGCGTTCATCGCCCCGCAGCCTGGGCTTGGCCGAAACGTAGGTTTCGCCGTCGGTCACAGCCGAGCGTCGCCGCCTGAGGACGGAGTTGGTGTTTTAGCTCCGACGTGATGGAGACCGGGGAGTTCGGGTACGATTTTTACAGCATTTCAGGCAGCAGCGTCTGGTAAACGCAATTTCTGCCCGAAGCTGTTTGTGACCGAACTTGCAGCCCCCTTGTCCCATCGAATTCGCTTTTGTTCCGCGTGGTTCTTGGTGTCGCCTGTCCTTGGGGTGTCACCGCGCGGGCGGGGGTCCAGCGGGGTCCCGCCGGCCTCGCTGTGTTCAGAAGCGGAGGAGGAGACAGCCGGGATGCGCAGAAAGCCCCTTTCCTGGCGGACACCCCCCCCACCCCCCCATCCAGCCCCTGACCAGCTGACCAAAACCATCCCACTCCCGAAAGCACAGCGAAGGGCTGTCTGGGCAGGTGGTTCCGACTGGCTGGTGCCTTTGATGGACACGCAGAGCCCTGGCCGGTGGACACCAGAGCGTGGGCAACGCGGGCTCTGCCTTGTCACAGGCCAAAACTTCAGACAGGGTCCTGCCCCGGCTGGTTTGGCTCAGCAGATAGAGTGTCCGCCTGTGTCCTGAAAGGTCCCAGTTTGATTTTCAGTCGGGCACCTGCTGCCTTCTGCACGACCCCAACTGGGGATGGATCTCTCTCTTCCTCCCTGAAATCAACAAAAAACACATTTTAAAAACACTTGCTGATTGGTTTGAGAGAGAGAGAGGGAAAGAAAGAGAAACATCTATTTCCTCCACGTACTTCATTGGTTGCCTCTTGTGCGTACCCTGACCTGGGATCAGACCCACAGCCTTGGTCTATGGGATGACGCTCTGGCCAGCTGAGCCCCCGGCCAGGCCCCGAACCTTTTCCCGTTCGTCCAGTCAAGCGTGTGCCAGCACTGTGTTCTCTCAGCACGTCGGGTTCCTGATGGAGAAGCTGGTGTTAGAGTGGCTCTGCACTCTGGCTCCCTTTGCTGGCTTAGCCGGCCAGCCGAACCCACATGGACGGTGACGTCCAGCAGTGAGAGGCAGGCCAGTGCACCTGAAACACGCTGGACCACACGTTCCCCACGCCCCTTCAGCCTCAGGCCCGGAAAGCAGCGGGCGGAGGTGGGGTCCCCCTGCTCCGGGTGGACGCCCAGCAAAGCCTTCCTGTTGGGGATCCTGTGGGCATGGTCGTCCTTCCAGGACCCAGCCCCTGACCAGCTGACCAAAACCATCCCACTCCGTTACCCTTCCTCCTGGCATGTTTAGAATCACCATGACCTGAAGACGGTTCTGTATTGAAACCAGTTTTCCGAAGGAAAATAAGAATTTGAAAGAACAAATAGTTCAGTTTAAATTCTCACCAAATTTCTCTTGACCTTGTAGACATCCTTTTACCCAGTTATTTGGCTTTGGGTCCAAAATAGAAAATGACTTGCATTTAGTCCGTGGTTTTGAGGTGTGACTCCCGTGCAGTGGCCGGCACAGGCTGTCGGACCAGTTTTGACCAGTGTGTCCGGCTGTGGAACTGTTTGCTGATGGTGCCAGGAAACAGCCCGTAGCCCGGGATCTCCTGTGTGGCTGAATGTTTGTGCCCTGAACTCCCTGAGGCGAAGCCCTGGCCTGGGGGAGGCAGTTAGGGAGACTGGAGAGTGTGCCTGGCGGATCAGGGTGCAGGTCGAGGGGAGACCCCTGTCCTGGCTCACCCACCCAGGAGAGGCCCAAGCACACAGTGCGAAGACCGCCTGCCTGTCAGGAAGGCCCCACAGCCTACTCCAGGCACTGCGTTTCCCTGTGCGGAAGGAAGGCAGCGATCGGTTACTTGTTCTTCCTGCGCTCACCCCTGAGCACCTCCATCGCTGTTTCTGCTGAGTGCACTGTGTTCCTAGAGCCGACATTCCTACAAGAATGTGTGCCAGGCAGATGGTGTTGGGGTCCCCCTGGAAGTTGGCAGGAGTTTGCGAAAGCTTGTCTGCCCACGACGGGTCGTGTGGGCCTGGCTGCATGAGGGACACAACAGCCTGGCTCTGAGTCCCCTGACAGTGAGGTCGGGTGTGAGTATTGGGAGCTTTGCTGGAGCTGGGCCTGGGCCCTGACCAAGGGTCCCTGACCAGCCTGTGTCTGCCCCAGAGGCACCCTCTCACCCAGCAGGTCCACGTCGGGTGGAGAGGCTCAAGACAGGGATTAGGGTTTTACCAGGACCGACGAGGGATGGACGGCCAAGCCCTGCCTGAACTCCTGTGCCGACGGCTCATCACTCTTTCTGCAGCCCTCCTCCCTCGGGAAGCTGTGGGGGAGGGAGCCGTCCAAACCCAGTCCAGGGGACCCTGAGCACCGGAGGCCGAGGCCCTGGCCTGGTTAGACTCCATGCGACCCGTGACCAGCCGTGGGCCTCACCTGGCACCTTGATTTGCAGGCCTCAGACCTGGCCGTGAGCCTCCTGACCGCAGAGCGCCAGGCTGCAAGGAGCTGGATGTGTGCAGCTCGCATTCTGCGGGGCCAGGCCAGGTCCCCCGCCCGGCAGCCCAGCGCCCCTCTCCGCTGCGGACCCTGCGCTCTGGGGCATGGCGCTCCAGCGCGCCATCCTCCTGGCCGGCCTCCTGGTGGAAGTTGCCAGCAAGTCCTCAGACAGCGCGGTGGGTGCCCTGCCCTGTGGCCTGGGCGCCAGGAAGGGAGGTTGGAGCCTGCGGCCCAGCCCCCTTCTGGAAGCGAGCCATTCCCCGGGGTCTCTGGTCCGGGAACTGACCGGCCTTCCCCTCCAGGGCCAGCAGTCCAAGTGCTGTGTGGACGTGGTGGACGCCAACACCACCTGCCCCGGCGCAGGCCTGTGTGGCCCAGGTGAGCCTCTGGCCGGAGCCTCACAGCTCTCACCAGCTGTGAGGGCAGCAGGCGTGCAGACCGGGGAGGTCGGAGGGCGCGGCACAGGAGGGCTGGCCCCGTGCAAGCCTCATTCCTGGCGTGGCCACCTCTCTCGCTGTGGGCAGGGCCCATGGGGAGATGGTGCTGAGCAGCCGGAGGTGTGGGAGGCGCGAGGCCGGCGCTGCCCCCAGGGAGGCCTGGCTGGGCCCGAGAGCGGGTGAGTGAGGGAGGCCCATGTGGAGGAGCATGTTTGCTCAGCCTCCGGGCTCAGTGCTGAGGACGTGAAGAACATTCAGGTGAAGGATACAATCCTGCCCTTAAGGGTGCAGCTGGCAAGACGGGCTGTCCATCGGGCACTGGCCGGGCAGAGCTAGTTGCTGGTGGCAGCTGGCAGGTGTGGGGGGTTGGACGATGTGGGACCTGACGGAGGGCGGGGCAGCGGAGGCCACACCTGGTGGAGAGGGGTGCAGCCGTCCAGGCCCCGTGGGGCGGCCTGAGCCGGCGGTCAGGGTTGTGCTGTAGAGGCCTGTCCAGAGAAGGCCGCACAACTCCGCCTGCTTTAGACCCGGCCCGGCCTCTGCTGCCACCCCGGCCTCCAGACGGGTAACGGACTGGCAGGCGCCAGCGGGCACGAGCTGCCATGGTGCGAGCTGCCATGGCCCGGGGGCCTCCTCACTGCCTCTGTCGCACAGGCTGCTTCAGGCGCTGGAATGCGGACGGGAGCGCCAGCTGCGTGCGGTGCAGGAATGGGACCCACAGCAGCTCCGAGTGCAGAGGCCGTAGGTCGCCCATCCCCTGCCCCTCCCCACACCCATCTGGCCCACTCTCCCCGAGGCCTCAGCTCCCCTGGACCCCTCTCCCCATCCCTCTGCCTCCCGGTCACACCCGCGCCCCCTGTGGCTGTGCCTGGCTCCAGGGCTCCTCCCGGTCGGCCCCCCCGTCCCCCCCCCCTGCGGGTCCGCACTGACAGGTGTGCCCCCACAGTGGCTGGCCAGGGCGAGCAGTCCCCCGCCAACAGGAGCACAGGGACGCCTGGGCAACCGAGTCCTGGTGAGTGCGCCGGCTCCCAGGCTCCAGCAGGGCCTGCCCACAGGGCGTGGGGAGGGGGCATCGTCGGACCCAGTCCCACTGCCGACCCGACCATGGTGCCGGCCAAGCAGGGCCATGTCCATGTCCGGTCCAGGGGCCGGGGGCATGGCCAGGGCCCCCCGTGCACCCTGACGGTCCCAGCGGGGGGAGCCCTGAGAGCCATGCCCGCCCTCTGCCTCACTCCCGGCCCGCCAGGTCCCTTGTCCGTGTGACCGGACGTGTGTTCTCGGAGGTGAGGACAGACACCCAGGTCCCGTGCTGCCCCCGACTGCTAAGAAGTGGGGTCCCGAGGGTGCAGACACTGCAGCCAGACAAGGGCCCCTCAGCTCTGGGGTCCGGGGTGGGCGCAGGACCCCCTCTTGCCTGATGCCCGCTGAGCTTTCCTGAGTGTCAGGACCAGAAGGAAGTGGCTTGCGCGGCCCTGGCCTCCAGGCTGGCGGCCCCGGGCAGCCACTCAGGCGCCCCTCCCCCAGGCCTGCCCGTGCCCCAGGGCCCAGTGTGGCAGGAAGGGCTGAGGGGGCCTTGCCCGCAGGGGGCCCTCGGGTGGCAGCCTCTCTCTTCCTGGGGACCTTCCTCGTCAGCTCGGGCCTCATCCTCGCTGTGGCCGGCTTCTTCTACCTCAAGCGCAGGAGTAAGCTGCCCCGGCTCTGCTACGGGAGGAACAGAGGTACGTCCTCGCCCCCCAGCCCCGACCCCAGGGAAGGGCTCGGGGGCTGCTGAAGGTGGGAAGGTGGACTCGCCTGGGCCACCACCACGTGCCGGTGGGAAATGTGGCCTGAAGGCCAGGGGAGGGCACGGCTGACAGATGTGGGGCCCACAGCCCCCTGGGGGAGGGGCACAGGCTGCGGGGCCCCGGTGATACCTGTGCTCTTCCCACAGCCCCCGCCCTGCAGCCCAGCGAAGCCGTAAGTCACCCGGGTGGCCGAGTGCCCTCCCATCTGTGCCTGTACCCGTCCCCGTGTCTGACCCGAGTCTCCCCGTGTCTGTCCCGTGTCTGACCCGAGTCTGTCCCCGTGTCTGTCCCGTGTCTGACCCGAGTCTGTCCCCGTGTCTGTCCCGTGTCTGTCCCCGTGTCTGACCCCGAGTCTGACCCCGAGTCTGTCCCGTGTCTGACCCCGAGTCTGACCCTGAGTCTGTCCCGTGTCTGTCCCGTGTCTGACCCCGAGTCTGTCCCGTGTCTGACCCCGAGTCTGTCCCGTGTCTGTCCCGTGTCTGACCCCGAGTCCGTCCCCGTGTCTAACCCCGTGTCTGACCCCGAGTCCGTCCCCGTGTCTGACCTCGAGACTGTCCCCGTGTCTGTCCCCGTGTCTGACCCCGAGTCCGTCCCCGTGTCTGACCTCGAGACTGTCCCCGTGTCTGTCCCCGTGTCTGACCCCATGTCTGTCCCCGTGTCTGTCCCGTGTCTGACCCCGAGTCTGACCCCGAGTCTGTCCCGTGTCTGACCCCGAGTCCGTCCCCGTGTCTAACCCCGTGTCTGACCCCGAGTCTGACCCCGAGTCTGTCCCCGTGTCTGTCCCGTGTCTGACCCCGAGTCTGACCCCGAGTCTGTCCCGTGTCTGACCCCGAGTCCGTCCCCGTGTCTAACCCCGTGTCTGTCCCCGAGTCTGTCCCTGAGTCTGTCCCCGTGTCTGTCCCGTGTCTGACCCCGAGTCTGTCCCCGTGTCTGACCCCGAGTCCGTCCCCGTGTCTAACCCCATGTCTGACCCTGAGTCTGTCCCCGTGTCTGTCCCGTGTCTGACCCCGAGTCTGTCCCCGTGTCTGTCCCCGTGTCTGACCCCGAATCTGTCCCCGTGTCTGACCCCGAGTCTGACCCCGAGTCTGTCCCGTGTCTGTCCCCGTGTCTGTCCCGTGTCTGACCCCGAGTCTGTCCCGTGTCTGACCCCGAGTCTGTCCCGTGTCTGTCCCGTGTCTGACCCCGAGTCTGTCCCCGTGTCTGACCCCGAGTCTGACCCCGAGTCTGTCCCGTGTCTGACCCCGAGTCCGTCCCCGTGTCTAACCCCGTGTCTGTCCCCGAGTCTGTCCCTGAGTCTGTCCCCGTGTCTGTCCCGTGTCTGACCCCGAGTCTGTCCCCGTGTCTGACCCCGAGTCCGTCCCCGTGTCTAACCCCGTGTCTGACCCTGAGTCTGTCCCGTGTCTGACCCCGAGTCCGTCCCCGTGTCTAACCCCGTGTCTGTCCCCGAGTCTGTCCCTTAGTCTGTCCCCGTGTCTGTCCCGTGTCTGACCCCGAGTCTGTCCCCGTGTCTGACCCCGAGTCCGTCCCCGTGTCTAACCCCGTGTCTGACCCTGAGTCTGTCCCCGTGTCTGTCCCGTGTCTGTCCCCGAGTCTGTCCCCGTGTCTGTCCCGTGTCTGACCCCGAGTCTGTCCCCGTGTCTGACCCCGAGTCCGTCCCCGTGTCTAACCCCGTGTCTGACCCTGAGTCTGTCCCCGTGTCTGTCCCGTGTCTGTCCCCGAGTCTGTCCCCGTGTCTGTCCCGTGTCTGACCCCGAGTCTGTCCCCGTGTCTGACCCCGAGTCCGTCCCCGTGTCTAACCCCGTGTCTGACCCTGAGTCTGTCCCCGTGTCTGTCCCGTGTCTGTCCCCGAGTCTGTCCCCGTGTCTGACCCCGAATCTGTCCCCGTGTCTGACCCCGAGTCTGTCCCCATGTCTGTCCCGTGTCTGTCCCTCGGTTCGGCAGCCCCAGGCTCACTGTCCTCTCCTCTCAAGGCCGCGATGATCCCCCCGCCGCAGTCCTCAGGTGCGTCAGCTCTCACGTCTGCCTCCGGGCCCCAGGGGAAGCGGGACCCGACAGTGGCCTCAGCCTCCACCCCTGGCGGCTCCGACGGCCAGGCCTCCCTTATCAGCCGGGGCCTCCGCGCCCTCCTTTTGGTTTCTGAGACTCTGAGTCTGTCGTGGGGGAGGAAGGAGCAGGAGGGGAAGAAGAGGGGAGGGGGAGGGAGAGGGGAGCGAGAGGAAGAGGGAGGAGGGAGGAGGGAGAGGAGGAGGAACCCCCATGGGGCCAGGGTCACCCCGCCTCCCTGGGTTGGCCCTTCGCCAAGTCCCTGCTCTGCCCGAGGCCTGGGCTTTCGCTGCTGGGTCAGGCGTGTCCTGCCTCTGCGCCGGGGGTGCCAGCGGGGTCTGCCCCCCCCCCGCCCCCGCTGACCCACCTGCCTCCGCGTTTCAGTGAGGAAGCCGCGCTACGTCCGGCGGGAGCGGCCCTCGGGCCGGGACGCGGGCCCCGCTGCCGTCTCCTCGGTGGAGGCCCGGGTCAGCAACGTCTGACAGGCGCACCTCACTCTGCACGGACCGCCCGCCACGGAGGCCGCCCAGGGCAGCTGCCCCTCAGGCCTCGACAGGCCTGGACTCGCCCGGCTCCGCTCTCAGCCCCAGCGGCAGGCGCGGCGTGGCCTCCGGCCAGCTTCCTGCGTGCTGTGTCATGCCCACGGCCGCTCAGCGTCACTGACCACAGCAGGCGTCCCCGAGACTGGCTGGGAGCCGGGCTGGGGGGGTCTGGGCCTCAGGAGAGACGGAGGGACCGCCAGGCTGCTTCCTGCTGCAGCGCCGGCCAGACGCTCTGCCTGGCCGGGGAGCCCAGTGGTCAGCACCTGCGAAGGCAGTGAGGCCAGGGCCACTCGATGTTCCGGCCGGTGTCAGATGGGTCCGGTCCCGAGGCCGAGGCACCTACAGGGCTGTCCTGGGCTGACCCCCAGCCCATGACCCCTGGTTCCAGGAGTTGCAGGTGTTTGTTGGTTTCCAGCCAACTTCGGACTCTTTTTAAGCAAAAACTCATTTGTAGGGAAGTCTGTTCCCCACCAAGAGCCCAGCCTTTGGGCTCCATCCCCCCAGGACACACGTGCCTGCAGCGCTGGACTCGGGGCCCAGTCCCAGGGATGTGTCCTCCGAGCCCCCTTCGCCCGGACGCTGCCTGGGCATCTGGTCCCGTGACCGGCGGAGGGAGGCGGCTGCTGCGGAGAAAGGAGTGTCGTGGCCACTTCCCGCGCTGGGCTCGGCGCCGGCCGCAGCCCAGTTCCTTCTTCAGTGTCCGTCCCACGTCTGCGGCCCGTGTGGTCGGCCTCCCGAGCTCTCGGCCTGGTGAAGCCGTCCAGTGTCCAGATTCGAGCTCGTCTTCCCGCCCAGCAGCCGAGAGCAGGGAGCCAGCGTAGGCCTGGCCCAATAAACGTCCTTCTGCACCACAGGCCCCTCTGTCCTGCGCAGGTTGAGACCCATCAGCTGCTGCCCCTCGCGGGGACAGGGCGTGAGGAGAGCCCGCACAAGGACCAGGCCCCTGCCCAAAGCCTGCGCCCACCATCGGGGCGTTTCCCGCTCCCCGGCAGGCAGGACCCTCGGCTGCGATGGGACGGGCACGCTGAGGCTGCTGCTTAGAGGGTTTTTCTGCAGCAGGAGCAGCTGGTGGGCAACGTGGGAACCACGGGTGGCCAGGGCCCTGCACAGGACACCCATGGGCCCAGAGGCGTGCCCAGTGGGCAGTGGGCTGGAGGAGCTGGTGAGCAGGGGCATTGATGTGCGCAGCAGGTGGCCAGCCACGGGGTCAGGGCTTCACCCCAGAGCTGGCCTGACAGCCTGGCCCAGCCCCTGTCCACTATTGCCTGTGCCTGGGACACCCTGTCAGGTTTATGGCTCTTGGGGGGACGTCTGCGGGCTGGGGAGGCGAGGGGGGTGCACACAGGGGCTGGGGAGGCTAGGGGGGTGCACACAGGGGCTGGGGAGGCGAGGGGGGTGCACACAGGGGCTGGGGAGGCTCCCAGGCCTCTGTCCTTGTTCCGGGGATGGTGCTGGGGAATTGCCTGCCCCGCCCGTGGCCAACAGCCTCCCCAGGGCCAGGCCTGGCAGGGCAGGCCACCCGGTCCTTGAGCTGCGGTCTGCCCGCCGCCAGGAGGGAGGGAGCCTGGCCAGACTGAACCAGTGGCGGATGGGGCCTAGCACCAGTCCTGGGAGGCGGGCGAAGCCGGGATCCTGGGTGCCGGGGGGAGGGTCCTGGGGTGCCGTCGGGGGAGGATCCTGGGTGCCACGTGGAGGTGTTGGTCGCCCCCTTTGCCCACAGCAGCCCCGACAGCTTCTCCACTCCACGGGCTGGGGTGGGGGAGCAGGTCAGGGTTCCCAGTGGCTCATGGAGCCCGCCAGCCGGGGGTGGGGTGGGGGACACACCAGGACAGCTCATGCCCTCTGCTCCCATGTTGGCACCAGGCCAGGCTGGTAACGGGGACAAAACAGGAAACCACCACGTTCGACCAGGACAGCAGGTCTGGCCAGCCGGGCCCTGGAGGCCAGGCCAGGAGGAGGGAGGCCCTCCCCACCCACCACCTCTTCCCGGCCAGAAGCCCAGGGTCCCCTCAGCCCTCTCCACACCCTCCCCAGCCCCAGCCCCAGCCCCACACCGGGCGCCTTTCCCCTGACCTGTGAGCCTGGGGGGACGGGGGCACCCTGGCCCCAGATGGCACAGGTGGTGTTGCTGGACTCGCCAGCCCATGACCCTGAGCCCCCAGGCCAGACAGCAGGGGTTGGGCACCAGAGGGGAGGATGTGGGGGCTGGCAGGGCAGGTGGTCTGAGTGGGGCCTGCACAGCCCCTCCTGTCTCCATCCCTCACCCCTCACCTGGACTCCAGGCCCTCACACGGCCACAATGGGGGTGATTTCTGGGTCACAGCTCAGGCCAAAGCAGGGGGGTGGGCACCATGCCCGCGTCATGAGGGGCTGGGTCTCCCCGATGCCCCAGGAGGTGAGGTGGTTGGGGGTGCGCTCTGGGTCACAGCTGCATCTCATTCATTCACCCAGAACTAGGAGACTCCCTGAGAGCCAACAGGGGTCAGAGGTCAGCAGGGGACCACCTATAGCAGTTGGGAGGCGGGGCTCAGGGCTTGCCTGGGTGGGGCCTGAGGAGGAGGTGTGAAGGCAGAGGGCCCAGCCAGGGGCCCAGAAAGAGCTGCAAGGCGGGGGCCATGAGGGCCTCCCCCATCGGCAGCCATGCTCCCCTCCGAAGGTCCACGCACCTGTACACACGGGGACGCGCTGTCGCTCAGCCAGGCTAACGTGCTGGGTGTGCGTGTCCGTGTGTGTGCGTGTCCGTGTGTGTGTGTGTGTGTGTGTCCCGTCCCCACACAGGACATGTGGGGCCTCACACGCACCTACAGCCATGGCTGCTCCAGGTCTGGCCCTGCCTCCTGCCACGCCCACGGCACATTCCTGGGGCTTCCTCTCCCCTCGCCTCTGGCCCCTGACTGTCCCCTGAGGAGCCCGGTGACCTCGGAGCTGGGATGTTCCCAGGAGCCTCAGGTTCTTGGAGCAGAGGGACCAGGACCAGGACACTTCCCGTCTCTTGTCAGCAGCAGGGGGCCCAGGCCCTGAGTCCAGCCGGCGTGCACTGTTCTCGGCCGAGGGGCTGGGGGCAACCTGCATGACCCCAGGGGCTGGGGGCAGTGTCAGGTATGGGGACATCGGGGCACGGTGGGGGGAGGGGTGCAGTCTGTGCCACTGGGTAAACCCTGGTCCCTCTGCCCAGCCCCCAGGCCCCAGCCGGCCCGAGGTCTGCAGGACCCCATGCTGACCGGCTGAAACTGCTCCCATCCCGGAAGGACTTCCAGACCCCGGGTGGGTCAGGGGCTTCCTTGCGCTCCAGGGTCCCACACGTGTAACCCAGGGTGCCCGCAGCATCACCCCAAACCAGTCCTGTGACCTCCTGGTCCCTGAGGCACCCTTACCTTTGACCCCACTCCTTGGGAGTGCTCCCAGCCCTGACTCTCACCCAGTCCCTGGACCCAAAGGCTGTGGGCAGCAGAATCCCAGGTCTGGAGAGCCATGCGTGTGAACATTGGGGTGACACGTATGGACACACATGTCAGCAGTCGTGTACAGAGGTGGGGGACAGGAACGAGGGCTGTGGAGGGGACATCAGTGAGATCACAGGGTGTAAGGACCTGGGCTGAGGTGCAGAGTGGGGGGCTGGGAGGCCTCAGGGGCTGCTCCAGGCACCACCCCCAGACCTGTCCAGGCTGTGGAGGCCTGAGTGACCGCCGCTGCGCCTCACCCTCTGCGCCCAGCTCACCAGGCAGAGGACGGGAAGCCAGCCAATCCCGAGGCCACGCCCCCGGCCAGCATGACCTGAGTCCATAAATACACCTGCCGGGGCCCAGCCCGAGGACTCACACCTGCTCGGCACGCACACTGGGACACGCAACCCCTGCCCTCCACCTGCCAGGAACACGCAGAGGCGCACCTGCCAGCCCAGCCGCCGAGACAGCTGCGACAGCCGAGGAGGGACACCTGCCCGGGGAGCCCAGGCTGGGCCCGGTCCGGAGAGCGCTCCTGAGCAGAACGAGGAGCCGCGGAGCCTGGCCCTGGCCGGCCAGGAGCACCATGCCCCGGCCCCGATGACCCCCGGCCGCCAGGTAAGGCCCCTCAGCCGGCTCTCACCTCTCACCTGGACCGGCTCGGGGTGGGGCAGTTCCTCGGGGTGGGGCCTCAGTGCCAAGGAACCGGTTATGTGGGCTTGCCAGCCGGGGGGGTGGGGGGTGGGCAGCCAGTCCCCCAGCCTGGCCACGGCCGCGGCCTGACCCGCAGCCACCCTGTCCCCAGGGCACCACGACCTCCGGTGTTGGGATGCGGGCACTCGTGACATCACAGTGACGCACCCCGACTCAGGCTCGGTCACGGGACAGCGATGGGGAGCCTTCATGCATGTCATCCTGGAGTCATCCCCCCACTGACAGCAAGTCATGGTCGGGCCGCCTCGGGGGCCTCCTGAGCTCCACGGGGCCAGGGATAGGGTCTTCCCGAGGCCCTGGCCTCCTCTGTCCACCAGGTGGAGACCTAGGCCCGGGGGAGGGGCGGGTGCAGCCCTGGGCAGGCTCCTGTCAGCAGGCTGGCCACCTGAGCCCGGCCAGGGAGGCAGACAGGGTCCCACGGGAATGGGATGGGACAGGAGGAGGCAGCTGTGTGCCGGGCCGAGGACAGAGGCCGGCGTGTCCTCCCCTCAAGTCCCAAGGGCTGACGCAGGCCCTTGCCGCCAGCCGACGGGCTGGGACACAAACTTTACCCAGGCACCAGCCTCCACCGTACTCAGGCCTCTCCATCCCCCTAGACCGGCTTGGCTCAGCCCCAGACCCAGTGCTGACCTCCCCAGCCAGGCCTGGCACCCAGCCAGGTAGGTGCCTACACTGGGATCCGTGCTCAAACCCACTTCACTGGCCCGCTGCCAGGTGACCTGGCTGAGTCCCCCACCCTCCAAGCTGCCTTTTCTGCTCATAGCTGTGACATCCCATGACCTGGCCCAGCCTGGCCGAGTCCAGATGGGAATGGTCACTCCACCTCTGCCGGGCCCATAGCCAGGGCAGGGCCAGCCTGAGGCGTCCCCCTGGCACTCAGCATGGCACCCTGTGCACATGGCATCTGTCCGCAGGCCCAGCCGGCTGCCTGCCCCAGCCTCGCGTGAGGTGCTGGAGGGGGTAGGACAGGGTGCAGGTGGCACCCACAGGTGGGCAGTGTTCTTCCTGGGCCAAGGGGAGAGGGACAGGCTGACCTCTCAGGAAGGGGCAGCCTGGGGTCACTCACAGTCTCTCTGTTTGTCCCACAGCTCTTAGCCATGTCGTCACGCCAGCAGGTGTGGCATACGGCCACGCTGCCCCCCGGCCTGGGCAGCCCCACAGCCCCCCTGCCGAGGTCCCCCGGCTCTGTCAGCGACCCGAGGTCCCCCACCACCCCCAGCTCGGTCAGCGGCCTGAGGTCCCCCAGCTCGGTCAGCAACCCGAGGTCCCCCACCACCCCCAGCTCGGTCAGCAGCCTGAGGTCCCCCAGCTCGGTCAGCAACCCGAGGTCCCCCACCACCCCCAGCTCGGTCAGCGGCCCCAGGTCCCCCGGCTCGGTCAGCGGCCTGAGGTCCCCCAGCACCCCCGGCTCAGAGAAGGTGGCCTCCCCATTGGAGTGCTCCATCTGCTTCTCTGGCTACGATAACATCTTCAAGACACCCAAGGAGCTGTCCTGCACCCATGTCTTCTGCTTGGAGTGCCTGGCACGGCTGGCGGCCGCCCAGCCAGCTGGCCGGCCGGGCAGTGAGGCTGTGCCCTGCCCGTTCTGCCGGCAGCCCACCGCCGTGCCCGCCGACGGCGCCCCCGCGCTGCGCACCAGCCGCCAGCTGCAGGCCAAGATGCCGGCACACCTGCGACAGGAGGAGCCGGTGTGGCTGGAAGGCACCAAGCTGTGCTGCTGCCTCCCCCCCTCCGCGCCCGGCCTGGCGGCCCCCGGCTTCGTGTGTGTGGACGTGGGCCTGAGCAAGCCGCCCGAGCCCGCCGTGCCCGCCCCCAGCCCCAGCCCCAGCGGCCGCCCCCGGGGCCGCCTGGCCCGCTGCTGGGCCCGCTGCGGGGACTGGAAGCGCATGGCGCTCATCACGGCCCTGCTGCTGGCGCTCTTCTGCGTGGTGCTCTGGCCTGTGCAGTGCGCGCTCAGGACCGGGAGCCTGCACTGCCTGACCCGGCCGCCTGCCGTCGCCGCGCCCACCACCGTCAGCTACCCAGCCACCTTCCCTCTCGGGCCGCTGGCCGACGACTAGCTGTCCATGCCCATGGGGGACCCAGCCACAGCAGAGGGAGGCGTGCGACGGCCGCTGGGAATCAGTCCAAGGACCCCACAGGAACCCTAACATCTCTGGGGACCCCATTTGGCTCACCTGACCCCACTCTGGGGCTGGATCCTGATGGCCTCCCAAAGCCTCCAAGAATAATGGGCTCCCGTGAGCCCCAGAGACCACCCCTACCTCCCGGTGTGGAGCCCGAGGCCCAGGCCCACCGCCTGGCCAGGCCCGGTACGCGCTGTGAATCGCCCACAGAGGCAGCCCCTGGGGGAAGGGAGGGGCCCCACCTTCAGGGTTACATTTCACGAGGCTCCTTCCCCAGGCAGGGCCGGCCCTCCCTGGGGTGGGGGCGCTGACCCTGCCCCCGGAACTGCACGTTTGTAAATAAATTATTTTGTATCCACATCTGGGAAGGTCCTTGCTTGTGCGCCCTCCTCCCCGTCCAACTGACCCCCTGCCCACGGTCCAGCCCTCTCCAGAAAGCCTCAGTCCAGAGGACACCCCTGGTCCCACTCCCTAGGGCAGAGGGCCCCAGCCTCCAGGTACAACTCCGCCGCCTCCGTGCGGAGGGGCTGGCAGTGTGGGTCTTGGCTGCCCCCCGGACCCTGAGCTCCCCGAGGGAGGTGGGAGGACCCAGATCACCTGGGACGGGGGAGCCGGGCCCGGTCCAGAGCCCCCTCCTCCTGAGCCGCCGTCATACTGGATTGAAACCCAAGAAGTCAGGGCCCTACGATCCTGCGGGAAGCCTGACTGGGGTGCTGCAGAACCCCTGAACCCCAGGAACGGAGCGTCACGGGGGCACAGAAGCAGAGGTGCAGGTGTATGTCCAACAGTCCACAGACCACAGTCCCCCTCCGGGGCCTGGCTGGTAACAGGACAAGCCCTGCCAGGCGCCCCCCTCCCCCCGCCCCGGGGTTTGCTCTCAGCCCCAGGAACCCTGCACCACCAGGTTGGCATGGCCAAGAGAGGCCCGGCTGGTTATGGCTCAGCATGCTCACCCCTCACCCCAAAGCCCTGGACTTCCTGCTGCACCCAGCTGAGCCTCTGGGGGGTGGGGACCCCAGAGAAGATGGGCCTCGTGGGGGCCAGAACACCACCTTCCCCTGGCCCCCGATCACAGCACGGGAACAGTGTTTTACTGGGAACACACGGAGCACAGACCACTGGGGATGGGTGGTGCCGTGACCACAGACGGCATGACAGTGACACTGCACTCAGTCAGCACGCACACACACCAGTCAGCTACGTGCACGGAGCCTCGCCCTCATCACGGGCAGGGCCAGGCATGTGAGGTTGTGCATGTGGTCATATGAGCATCTCACGCATTCAACAAGTATTTATCCATGTGTGACTGCAGTGTAATGGCCTGAGCTCCAACCACTGCAGGCAGGGCTCTGGAGGCAGGGGGTCGTGTGCAGGAGGCAGGGTCGTGTGCATGGAAAATACAGGGGAGCCTGCACAAGCACAACTGGCCACCAGCTCACTGATCACGTGTGTCACACATGCAGGCTGACACTCAAGCATGTGGAGTACAGGGTCACACATGGTCACTCCCTGCTGTGCAGGTGGTCACTGGTGGCCTCTCACCCTGAGAGACAAGACACAGCCCTGAAACCCTGCCTCCCGCTCACCCAGGAGTCCCAGAAGGGCCAGGACACCGGGATCTCCCAACTGCCCGCCCCGGGTCCAGTGTCCAGGTCTCACAGGCAGGCTCCTGGACAAGCTCCAGGCTGCTGTCCTCCTTTTTTTTTTTTTTTTTTTTTTTTTTTTTAAGAGAGAGAATAAGAGGAGAGAGAGAGAGAGAGAGAGAGAGAGAGAGAGAGAGAAATGAGGGGCAGAGACGGAGAAACTGTGTGAGTGAAAGCCAACATCCGTCGCTGCCTCCTGCTCGCCCCCCCGGTGATGGAGCCACATGCGTCGCTGTTTGAAGCGTGTGGTGGTGCATTATCACGGCCCCTGAGTGGGTCCAACAGCAGCCGTTTGGTGCAGGGGACGCGCCCAGCCACCTGAGCTCACCCAGGGGGCAGCCAGTCCTCCCCAGGGGCTCAGCTCCACGGGGCGTGGGCACGGCCCCCGCACCACTGCCGGAGTCTCTGGTCCGTGGCCCGAGGCCTGGTTCTGTGGGTTTTGTGCCCTAGTTGTGTCCGCGGCCTCCTGGCGGGCACCCCGCCCTGCCCCCCGCTGGACCCAGACTCGGGCCGGCTCTCCGGTGCTCCACGCCTGCCACAGGCCTTGGAGCACAGTCGGGCTCGGCAGAGAGCTCACCCTGGGAGGTGGGGTGCGGCTCACCCTGGCGATGCCCACACAGGTGCTGCCACCTGCACTTCAAAACATGAAGAAGTGGAAAATGGGTCTCTGAATGGTCTGCCTCAAAACAAGCAAAGTTCTGTTGGGACGGTACCCACAAATTACCTGAAAGATGGGGAAATGGGTAGCTAGCGATGGACATTACTTTGAATAAAACATTTTTGATGTTTCTCTTGAAATTATCGTGTTTTCTTTCATTATAAAACGGTTAAAAATGTGGATTAATCATCAACCGATTAATAGTGCAGATTAACTATTAATCAGTTAATGTGGGTTAACCACCAACTGGTTAATAATTCGGATTAACCATTAACTGGTTAGTAGTTCAGATTAACTTTTAACTGGTTAAAAATGTGGATTTTATAAGCAAAGAAAACACAATAATTTCAAGAGAAACATCAAGAATGCTTTATTCAGCCGAGACTGGTTTGGCTCAATGGATAGAGCGTCGGCTTGGGGACTGAAAGGTCCCAGGTTCGATTCCGGTCAAGGGCATGTACCTTGGTTGCGGGCATATCCCCGGTAGGGGGTGTGCAAGAGGCAGCTGATCGATGACTCTCTCTCATCGATGTTTCTAACTCTATCTCTCTCCCTTCCTCTCTGTACAAAATCAATAAAAAAAATATTTAAAAAAAAATGCTTTATTCAAAGTAATGTCCATCGCTAGCTACACATTTCCCCATCTTTCAGGTAATTTGTGGGTATCGTCCCAATAGTATTTTGCTTGTTTTGAGGCAGACCATTCAGAGACCCCATTTTCCACTTCTTCGTAACTTTTGAAGTGCTGCTCAGAAAGTGCGTGTGCCATCGATCGGAACAAGTGGTCATCTGAAGGAGCAAGGTCTGGTGAATACAGCAGGTGGGTTCATACTTCCCAGCAAGATCTTTTAACGTGTCTCTAACTGGTTTTGAAGTGTGTGATAGTGGGTCATCATGAAACAAAATTACTTTGCTGTGTCTTCTGGAACATTCTGGTCGTTTTACGATCAAAGTGTGGTTCAGATTGATTATTTGTTGTCAGTATTGATTAGTATTAATGATTTTAGAAGCTCATAATACACCACACCTCCCTGATCCCACCAAACGCAGAGTATTGTCTTTTTTCCGAAGCAATCTGGCCTTGCAGTCGATGTTGATGGTTGACTTGGATCAACCCATGATTTTGTGCGTTTGGGATTCTCAAAATAAATCCACTTTTTATCACCAGTCACAATTCGATGCAAAAAAATCTTTTATGCCATTGAAGCAACATTTTATTGATGACTTTTTGTTTTTTCATTTGTCTTTCGTTCAGTTTATGTGGCACCCATTTTCCTTCCTTTAAAATCTTTCCCATTGCTTGTAAATGACTGGAATTTGTTTGCTGAGCAACGTTTAATCTTTCTGCAAGTTGTTTTTGAGTTAGACACGCATCTTCATCCAATAATGCTTGTCATTGTTGGTCTTCAAATGTTTTCAGTTGACCTGGATGTTCTTTGCCTTTCACATCAAAATCATCAATTATAAAGCGTTTAAACCAGCGTTTACAAGTATCTTGAAATGGAGCATGTTCACTATAAGCTTCCCGAGGTATTCAGCAGCACTTTTCTTCAAAATGTGATGAATTAAAACCTCCCGCAAATGCTCTTTTTTTGGCACGAAATTCAACACTTTTAAGCGTAAAAATATCTATGATATGAACACCTTCATTAAATTTGACATGAAGTTTTGAAGCTTGTTGTCGATACAACAAAATAGCACACTTAACAAATTGACATATATATGTCAACGTATGTGTATCTCCATGTATTAAAAAAATCCGCATCATTAACCCGTGCACCCCGGAGTGCTTCACTGTGCCTGGTGGCCACTCCGGGGCAGGCCGGGGCAGGCCGCAGGGTCAGAGCAGGTGTGGCTGTGACCCAGGAGAGGGGGCGGGCCTCAGGGGATAAACCGGGAGGAGAAAGCCAAGGCCAGAGGAGTGGTCAGCATGGCCAAGGCCGAGCAGGAGGGGTTGGGAGGACCAGACAGGGTTCTGGGCTCCGGAGGCCCTCCCCACCCCCAGAGCTTCCTGAGCCTGAGAAGCAGGCTGGGCCAGCTGCCGCTCAAGCCCGGCTGAGCACAGGGCACGGGCCCTGACTGACAGGTGTTTCTGCTGCACCGGCCCAGAGGCGGCACCGTGGGCTGCGGATGGCCTGGTGGCAGGTACACCTGGCCGGTCCGTGGCCTGGCTTCTCCTCTGGGTCACTCTGGAAGGGGGTGGGGACAGCTGCTGCTGTTTCCAATGACAGGACACATGCAAGTCTAAGCAGATGTGCGCCCAGCAGCCCAGGTGGCTCGCACGTCCCTTCCGCCTCAGCCTGGGGCGGGGCTCCGGACAACGTCTCGTCCAGCTCTCTCTGAGGACCCCTTGGGGCTGCCACACCCTCCCCCAATGTCTCTCGTCCCGCTGAGGTCTGCAGCTGAAACGCCGGCTCTTCCAGGACATGAGCTGACCAGGCACAGCTGCCTCGTGCACCGGGCACGCTCGTCCACCTGCAGGAGGCACAGGAGGAAGATGCCACTCGGGCCTCCAGGGAGGAAGGGGTCCTGCGTGTGCAAGAGGGAGCCTCACCCTGTGGTGGGAAACGGCCACCGAGGTCCCTGGCGGGGAAGGGTGTTCCTGGGTCGTTCCTTGGGCTTGTTCTCTGGCC